GCATGCACAAAGTCCGGCCGAATGCCGCCAAAGCAAATGCGAGCACTTTTCACCTGCGACTCCGCTCCAAGTTCCAGCAGAAATGCGGCATTCACATAGGCATGTGCATTCTGGGCACGTGGCATGATCTGTGGAGGCAACAGAAGATTCAAAATTCAGATACTTAACAGAAAACTATCTCGCTACTATATCATTTATCTGATTGTATTTTTAACTATGCTTTGAAATCTGGTTAATACCCTGTAATTAGAATGGGAACACAATATTTCAAATAAAAGTAATCTTCAAATTGTATCCTGGAATAAAGTTTTTATGGGATATTAGGAGGTTATTTTAAGTAAAATCCCCAAGGATATTTATAATACACAGGAACAAAAGTTGTCTGTTAGGAAATGAGTGCGTATCTGAGTCAAATGTAAATAATGCTCTCTTAATATGTGTACGTGGAATGCCTGGATACCTTATACGATTCGTAAATGTATTTTTCCTTGGGATAGGCAGGCAACAGGAATGCCTTCAGCACCAGTTTTCTATCCTTGGAGCTCAAATAGTCGGCCAGTGGCATTTGCTGCTGCTCCTTGGCATTTATAGACGCCAGGACATGGACATTAAGTGCCTCGAAGCTGATGTGGACATCCGATGGGAATTCGGGATGCTGTTTCTTAATCGCGATATTGCCAGCCAGGGTGCCAGACTGCAAGATCAAGATCGGAATTAGTTGACAGTTGGGAGTTGTGGACAAATTGAGAAAACGTACATTACGAACTGGCACATTGGCAATGAGATCTAAATGCTGCCACAGCTGCTGCAGATACTCAAAGCCAGCCTGTTGCGAGGTGTCCTTAACGATATCCATGGCCTGACTGAGACTGAGATTGGCGCCCAGCTTGAGCTGCTGGGCATCGCTGCTGTGCTCCTGCAGCTCGCCGACGCCGCGCACATCGATAAAGTGCCGAGGAGTGTCCGGGGAACGTCGATAGACGCCATGCGCCGTATTACCGGCAACAAGCATAAACTCCTCCTGCTCACCCACCTTCTCCAGTGCCTCGAACAGTTCGACTAAAGTCTTTGGCCAATGCCATTGGCTGCCATCGTCGTAGATGAGGTTGGCCCTTACGCAATTGCCGGCACAGCGTTCGCCTGTTTTGGGGCACTGTTTCCTGGTCCTCATGTTCAAGTCCTCAATGTCCGCTACACACTCTGCTGGCAATTGAATATTGCTGTCCGCGGCAAAGGACTTCATGGCGTCCAGGATGGGTCGATAGCCGGTGCAGCGGCAAATGTTGCCACCAAATGCATTCTCCACCTCAGCCATGGTGACTTGACCACCGCGCGACTCCAACAATCCGTGCATATTCATCACCATTCCCGGCGAGCAGTAGCCGCACTGGCTGCCATTCAACTGCGCCAGACGCTTCTGGATCGGATGATAGCCGCTGCTCTTGTTCCCCAGTCCCTCGGACGTCACGATCTCCAGCTGCGAGCAGCTATTCAACAGCGTCAGGCACTGCAAATGCAAAGTTTTGGGTGAGTAAATCCAAGTGAACGAATCGATTGTGTGCACCGACGAAAAGATACCCTATTAATTCGAGCAACGAAAACTTCAGTTTGGAGAGTATTGAGAAGACTATAAGTAAATATGAAAAACATTATGTTTTCTAATAATATTTGGATATATTCCATTTTAAGTGATACTCTACCACTGTACACACAGAAAAAAAACGCACTGAAAATTCAGAACGTCATCCTAAAAAATATAAAGTTTTACTTGTTTTTAGGTATAATTTTTCTTAACCTTGGAAAGTCTTGCGCTAAATAGACAATTAAAAAATTGTGGTCCATTTTCTATTTTTCAAAAATAAATTTCTTAACACTAAAATATTTCCATGAAATACAAATGCAAACCTATATTTTTAGAATAAATCATTTCTGTAAGTTTGTTTTGCAAATTAAGCTATATAAACTTCAAAGCTATGTGAAAGGTTTGTATATGTGAAATCTTAAAATACCAACATTTAATAACAATAATAAGTAAGTAATAAGTAAAAATCAAATATAGGAATTCTTCTGCTGTACACAAAAAGCAAAATAAACCCTGGAAATTATACGTATTTTGTCTACATTTTAGAAAAAGTCAACCTGAAATTAAGAAATTCAAACCCCGGTTTTTAGAAAATAATGTGACAAACCCTTGGTGCCAAAAGTATGGCGAATTCAGGGAGATCTGAGTGTATAAAGAGGTGATCACTCAGACCAGACTGTTCGCATCAGCTCGACGTGCTGACCCAGAATGTGTATAATATTCCTGCCTAAACAATACTTGTTTTGCACGACTACACGGTATACGAATCTGGAATTGGAAACACTCTTACCGAGTTGACGGCCCAGCTGCGTTGACCGTCGCGCAGCACACAAATGCAGACGCCGCAGCCGCCCTCCTGGCACATGAACTTCGTGGCTGTCAGCTGCGCATGCTCCCTGATGAAGGTGTTCAGCGTTATGTCTGGCGGCAAATTGGTCAGATTCGCTGCGTAGCGAGAAATCGAATAAGAAGCGATATTTAGTATAGCAAACAGTTCAACATGACGGACGTATGGAAAATGAAAATGCCATTCGCTAACTTGAATCCGATGGAATCGTTCGCGATTTATTTTATTTACCAGCTACCAGTGCAGGTCATCTAATAGTCGTCTTCGTACGATTGTCGTTTTTGTAATTACAACTTACCTGTGTAGGGCTGACCGTTAATTGTGAATGTAGTCGTCATGTCGGAATAATTACGTGCACTTATTCACTGAAACACTGGAGTTCAAATGTATGCAAAACCCTTATTTTATTTTTCTAAATGTAAAATGCTCCGTTAATTTACTCCTGGTGCAGCTGCTGATGCTTCTGGCGGCTTCGGTTGTTCGCATTCAACTGAATGTCGACGTGCTTGGCAGCTGTGAGCACTTGTTTGAATTGAATAGATACCTGTTGTTGTTGTTGTTTAATTAACGACTTTTGAGCAGAAAAAAATTAAAATAATTCGCAGCCTGGCGTTGTTGTTGCTCAACTCTAATTGCAGCTTTGCTATCTCGGTTCAATCAAACTAACGGCGCTGGTTTTGTTTTTGTTTTTCGTCGATGCTGCTGTTTTCTTGCTTCGTTAGTCACAATATACAGTTACATAAAGAGATGGAAAGAGACAGGTCGTGATCTTTACAAAAATAGTAATCAAATTTTATTTTTCAAGATCGTAACTTATTTAAGTATACCTCTTTCAGAACATATATATTACTTAAAATTGCGTAATCAAAATAATTGTGCAAACGGTGTTGATCGTCGTCATGCATATAAAGAAAACTCATCTAATGTTTTTTATTTAGTTTTGTTTGATTTAATTCACATACATATGTATATGTATGTTTGTATGCCTTCTCAAGCACGTAACAAAAATCGAAAGGCACATAAATAAAACTTAGCAGACATCTTTCCAGCCAGAGACAGAGTCACAATTAAAACAAAGCAACGGATATCGTAGACAGGTCTCGCGTGTAAAAACAATCATTATATGTATTTATTCATCGGCTTGCGACAAACGTGTGCATTTACATTGTATGTACATACATATGTATGTATATACATACATTCCACAATCGTAGACAATGAGGAGTTGCAAAATACACACAAGTTTCCCGTCCCATTCTCACAATTGCGTTAGCATATTTATGCATAACCCAGGTGACTTCTATTCAATCTTGATGAAAGTTTCAATTGATCAATAATATCCACATGTATTTTATGTATTAATTAGAAGCTTCTCATCACAAATTATGGCTTTTATTGCTATCGGAAAACGATAAGTATCGATATTCGCTAAACGGGGACAGTTATTGATAAAATCAAACACACTTTGTAAAGGTCGGCGATAGATCGATCATTTATGTTGGCACCCTACCTTGAAAGAGAAAGAGAAAGAAAGAAAAGGAGCCGAAGGAGGAAAGAAAAGGGCCGCATGCGCATAGAAAATTGAATATATAAGACTATGAAAAGGACTAAACAAGCGGCAACAACAGATAGAATAAACGAAAGACTGACCAGCCGCTAACACGGAGGATATCGCCGGGGCTGAAACAGAAATGCAATCCAGGGAACAGTAAGACGATCAAGAGCATCCCAACATACCCGTGAGTTGGCCGCCGTCCAATTAATTATGGTCAATTGGCACGCCGCAATCATCCATAACCCCTGCGGCATCAGTGATGCGCAATGCCTTCAACAGTGATGCTCGGTGATCTAGCAAAAAAATACATAATTTTTCTTCTGAACGTATTAATATAAATAATTGTAAATAGACAGAATTTAGAATTTAGTGTTGGCCAATAGAGTATTAGATATTCGAAATGTACACTTATTAGATAAGAATATTGTCGATGAGAAAATAGACGAAGAGTCAATTAATAGTCTATTGTAATACGAAATGGAAATTGCTGAAATATGTTTGAATATCGCAGCAACGATTAATACTTAAGTATCGGTATATCGATACTTATATTTACAATAGAAATCAAGTCTTAAGTTAATGAGATTGGGTGGGGTGAGGGTATAGCAAACGGACGAAATGGAATTCTAAATCATCGGGAATATAAATATAAATTTTGACCAGGAATTTATAGGAAGAGAGGGACATGCAGGCTATATAACATTCCCCACAGCCAACACAGTGGCGAGCGGACTAAGCTGATAGAGATATTTATTGTTTTTTTTTTATGGAAGAAATACAAATTATTGTTGATTCGCCGCACAATCTGATCTGCGCGGGGTATGCGACTACTCTAGCTCTTAAAGCCTCTGAGATCCGTGTACTTCGGCCGTTAAACCTAATTAAAAGTCTGTTTTCAGACCAACAAAAGTTATTGGTAAAAAAAACGATGTTAAATTGCCAGCAGCTGCAAACCTAAAATCCACAATGTTAACTTACTGTTGTTGACATGTGTGGATTTTGTGAACAGCTGTTCGTGGATGTCAAAGTTAATATTTATTCATTGAAGTTAACATCAATTAACTAATATCTAGGTCCAATATATAAGTGTGTACATACGTAGATATAAACATGTTTTTTAAACAGTTTCAATTGCATTATTGCTCCTCATTTAAGTCGAAATGATTTAATATCGTGGCCGGCATTCAGTAGCAATATTTCGGGCGTTGTGGGTGCACCCAGACGGACCCACTCGCGAGGCAAGCCGGCATCCTTCCTGGCCGATTGCAATGCCTGTTGCAGAGCAAAGATTACGCTGACGGCCAGACAACAGGGCGGCTCGCCGGTGGCCTTGGAGCTCATAAATCCAGCACTGCTCGCCTGTGGATTCTGCACCATTTCGACGCGAAAATCAATGGGTATATCCTTTGCGCCTGGCGGTTTGTAGTTCCACGTGCGATTCGTGAGCAAGCGACCCGTCTGTCGCTCGTAGATCAACAGCTCGCTCAGCCAGTAGCCCAGACACATGACAAATGCGCCCTCGATCTGACCAATGTCGATGTAGGGACTGAGACTCTCGCCAGCATCCTCCAGTAGATCGACACGCCGGATTTGATTGCTGCCGGTCAGCACGTCCAGCTCGATCTCTGTCAACGCCATGCCATACACATGATAGTTCTGCATGTCGCCTTCCTTGTAATGGTCCGATGCAATCAGATTGATCGATGCCGCAAATGCCGCTTGGACCGTTTCCTCCCAGCCGACACCCTTCTTTTTCATCGGCTGCAGGCGCTTGTTGAGCGTCTCGCATGCCTTACGCACCGCAAAGCAGAGACTTTCGCTGCTCACGGCGCCACCGGTGACCATCGAATTGGCGCCATTTATGGTGTCCGACGACTCAATTTTAATATAGCTCAACTCGATGCCCAACGTGAAGGCGGCCACCTGGGCCACCTTTGTGTTCATTCCTGTGGAGAAAAAGGACCAAAACACCTTTGTGAATTCACTGATAAAAGACCAAGCTAGTCGAGAGTGCCCGACACTGGAGGATACCCTGTTTAAATCAATGGAGAATATTTTATTTTTGAATATTATTATTATATTATATTGGAATAATATGTAATATTGGAATAATTCACCTTGACCCATTTCGATGCCTCCATGCGTGACAACGACGGTGCCATCGACATGATAAATGGTTACCGTTGCCGCATATTGTCCAACGTAAATTATGGGATACTCCGTGATGGACAAACCCAGTCCTCGTTTGGTCCAGCGATTGTTAGCATTATGGGCCTCGATCTCCTGGCGGCGAGCATGATATTCACGCGACTTTAAAAATTGTGGCAGTAGCTCTGTCATTTTGTTATCCTTGGCTATGTTTAGAAGACGCACCTCGGCTGAATCTCGTTCAACCACAAACGCCACATGCTCCACAATATTCTCAATCATGGCAATGCCCTCAACGGCGCCAGGTGCACGGCACCATGTCGAACTGGGTGCATCGGTAAGGACAGCATTGCCAGTGATCTTATGGTTGGCAACGTTGAAGTCATAACAGTTTGCGGCCGTAAATTTGGAGTGTCCGGTGACGGGATTCTCGTTGGTATTCCAGCCAGCATCCTCGTAGAAATCATTCTGCAATCCAACAATCTTACCAGAATTAAGCGCATGGAATTGATAATCGGAACGACAGGCCCAGCGCTTCCCATTTGCATCCATCATCGATTCCAAGGATTGAATGAACCTCACCGGACGATTCAATTTGTGGGCAGCCAAGGAGGCAGCGCAGGCAACTTGATTGCCACGTGTTATTTTGCTGCCATAGCCGCCACCCAAGCGCCGCACCTGGAGTTGGACGTCCTTCGCTTTCAGCTGAAGCATGTGGGCAATCACCGATTGTGTGTGATCCATCCACTGGGTGGCCGAGTAGATCTTGAGGCCATCCTCAAACGGCATGGCGACTGTAGTCTGTGGCTCCATGCTGAAGTGATATTGCAGTCCCATCTGGAAGACACCTCGCACACTCACATCCGGCTCGGCGCTGCACTGAAACTTGCCCGGCTTCGGCTTGGCCATTTGGATGATGAGCGACGAATCCAGCGGCGACATGTCCAGCACATCGCTTAAGCTGGGTAGCACGGGACGCAATAACTGCGACTGACTGTAGGTGATCTTGACCAGCTTAGCAGCACGCTGAGCCCGCTCCGCACTCAGAGCGACCACCAGGCCCACGGGCTGTTCGTAGTAACGCACGCGTGTTGCACAGAAGATCTCCTCGGGTTCGTAGCCAAATGTCGGGTCAGTGAACGTATTTGAGCCGGGCACATCCTTGGCACTGTAGAAGGCTATTACGCCGGGTTGGCGCAGTGCCTCAGTCGTATCAATTTGCTCAATGCTTGCACCCACTTTGGTGGCGCCCACAAAGGCGCAGTGCAGCGTGTTGGTTGTGGTCAGCACATCGTTCATGTAGGTGGCTTCGCCGGAACATTGAATCATGCTCTCCACTTTCTGCACCGCTTGCGTCACCGGATAGTTTTCCTTCTTTGTCTGGTACACCTGTGTGCCCGAGGACAGCGCTCGCTCTAGCAGCTTGCCACCGCTCCTAAAGGCATCATTCACTGATGCGGCGGGCGCGTGCTTCAATAGAAACTTATAGAGCAGTCCACCAGCCAAGCTCACACGATATGCGGCCGAGGCATCCGGGAGCACCTCATCCGGCTGCAGCAGCGTCGATAGCTTGGCGAACGCCTGCTCCAACCAGGCATTGTCGAAGGGATTGCGTCCAAGCAGCAGCTCCTCAATGGCCGTCGCATGCACAAAGTCCGGCCGAATGCCGCCAAAGCAAATGCGAGCACTTTTCACCTGCGACTCCGCTCCAAGTTCCAGCAGAAATGCGGCATTCACATAGGCATGTGCATTCTGGGCACGTGGCATGATCTGTGGAGGCAACAGAAGATTCAAAATTCAGATACTTAACAGAAAACTATCTCGCTACTATATCTTTTATCTGATTGTATTTTTGACTATGCTTTGAAATCTGGTTAATACCCTGTAATTAGAATGGGAACACAATATTTCAAATAAAAGTAATCTTCAAATTGTATCCTGGAATAAAGTTTTTATGGGATATTAGGAGGTTATTTTAAGTAAAATCCCCAAGGATATTTATAATACACAGGAACAAAAGTTGTCTGTTAGGAAATGAGTGCGTATCTGAGTCAAATGTAAATAATGCTCTCTTAATATGTGTACGTGGAATGCCTGGATACCTTATACGATTCGTAAATGTATTTTTCCTTGGGATAGGCAGGCAACAGGAATGCCTTCAGCACCAGTTTTCTATCCTTGGAGCTCAAATAGTCGGCCAGTGGCATTTGCTGCTGCTCCTTGGCATTTATAGACGCCAGGACATGGACATTAAGTGCCTCGAAGCTGATGTGGACATCCGATGGGAATTCGGGATGCTGTTTCTTAATCGCGATATTGCCAGCCAGGGTGCCAGACTGCAAGATCAAGATCGGAATTAGTTGACAGTTGGGAGTTGTGGACAAATTGAGAAAACGTACATTACGAACTGGCACATTGGCAATGAGATCTAAATGCTGCCACAGCTGCTGCAGATACTCAAAGCCAGCCTGTTGCGAGGTGTCCTTAACGATATCCATGGCCTGACTGAGACTGAGATTGGCGCCCAGCTTGAGCTGCTGGGCATCGCTGCTGTGCTCCTGCAGCTCGCCGACGCCGCGCACATCGATAAAGTGCCGAGGAGTGTCCGGGGAACGTCGATAGACGCCATGCGCCGTATTACCGGCAACAAGCATAAACTCCTCCTGCTCGCCCACCTTCTCCAGTGCCTCGAACAGTTCGACTAAAGTCTTTGGCCAATGCCATTGGCTGCCATCGTCGTAGATGAGGTTGGACCTTACGCAATTGCCGGCACAGCGTTTGCCTGTTTTGGGGCACTGTTTCCTGGTCCTCATGTTCAAGTCCTCAATGTCCGCTACACACTCTGCTGGCAATTGAATATTGCTGTCCGCGGCAAAGGACTTCATGGCGTCCAGGATGGGTCGATAGCCGGTGCAGCGGCAAATGTTGCCACCAAATGCATTCTCCACCTCAGCCATGGTGACTTGACCACCGCGCGACTCCAACAATCCGTGCATATTCATCACCATTCCCGGCGAGCAGTAGCCGCACTGGCTGCCATTCAACTGCGCCAGACGCTTCTGGATCGGATGATAGCCGCTGCTCTTGTTCCCCAGTCCCTCGGACGTCACGATCTCCAGCTGCGAGCAGCTATTCAACAGCGTCAGGCACTGCAAATGCAAAGTTTTGGGTGAGTAAATCCAAGTGAACGAATCGATTGTGTGCACCGACGAAAAGATACCCTATTAATTCGAGCAACGAAAACTTCAGTTTGGAGAGTATTGAGAACACTATAAGTAAATATCAAAAACATGTTTTAAAAAAAAAGTATTTACCAATTAATCACATTAATCCCTTCTTTATTTACGGGTACAAGCAGAAAAACATCACGTTGAAATATACAAAATTGGCCTAAAATTAAAATCTCACTAAAAACTACATTTTTATCTTGATTTTATAAATATATTTTTTCAAATTAGAGAGGCTTGCTCTACGTCGAAATTAAAAAATTGTGGTCCATTTTCTATTTTTCAAAAATAAATTTCTTAACACTAAAATATTTCCATGAAATACAAATGCAAACCTATATTTTTAGAATAAATCATTTCTGTAAGTTTGTTTTGCAAATTAAGGCAATGTAAAAGTTTTTCTATGGTACACACCATGGAAATTAGACATATTTTTCTACATAATATATATATATTTTTAGACAAATTCACCATTCAACCACAACCATCAATTTTAGAAGTTTACTTTCTAAATAATAAGGGTGTTTTTTTTTCTGAGTTCATGCAAAAGGTTGGGGTACTGACCCATAATGTATATAATAATCCTGCCTAAACAATCTCCGTTTTGCACGACTACAGGGTATACGAATCCGGAATTGGAAACACTCTTACCGAGTTGACGGCCCAGCTGCGTTGACCGTCGCGCAGCACACAAATGCAGACGCCGCAGCCGCCCTCCTGGCACATGAACTTCGTGGCTGTCAGCTGCGCATGCTCCCTGATGAAGGTGTTCAGCGTTATGTCTGGCGGCAAATTGGTCAGATTCGCTGCGTAGCGAGAAATCGAATAAGAAGCGATATTTAGTATAGCAAACAGTTCAACATGACGGACGTATGGAAAATTAAAATGCCATTCGCTAACTTGAATCCGATGGAATCGTTCGCGATTTATTTTATTTACCAGCTACCAGTGCAGGTCATCTAATAGTCGTCTTCGTACGATTGTCATTTTTGTAATTACAACTTACCTGTGTAGGGCTGACCGTTAATTGTGAATGTAGTCGTCATGTCGGAATAATTACGTGCACTTATTCACTGAAACACTGGAGTTCAAATGTATGCAAAACCCTTATTTTATTTTTCTAAATGTAAAATGCTCCGTTAATTTACTCCTGGTGCAGCTGCTGATGCTTCTGGTTGCTTCTGGTATTCACCTTAAACTGATTGTCAACTGGCAAGCGATGGCATACAATTTGCAATTTTCTTGGCGGCTGCAAACACATTTATCCAGATGAAATGTGTACGGTTCAATTGCAAACAATGTAAAATGAAAAATGCAAACAACAAATTGCGTAAATTTGCAGTATTATTTTAATGTATTTGTATAAGTAAATTTGAATTAATTTACTTGCATGCTTGTTGAGTACAGAATTTACAAAATTAGCTTTTTGTTATGTCAAATGCATGCTGGTAATTTAAGTCAGCAGACCGAAAACGATATAATGTATTTAATTTAATAATAATTTGTTGCACTTTCTGCAAAGCAAGTCACGTCCGCAGCTCTCTTTAATAATAATTGCTCGGCACGCATAGCCACGTTTGCCATATAAAAAATAAAAATAAGCAGTCAGTAAAATAAGTTTAAATAAATAAATTATACATTTTCTTATAAATGGCTAAATTACAAACTATACATTATTCAAATGCTTTATCTCAAAAACCAATTGTGTTTTAATCATTTCTAAAAATACTTAAGATTTTGAGTATTTCCATAAATGTACAATTTTGTAAAAGTCATATCCATTGTACCATATTTTTTTAAACTTATTGTTATGGGATAATTGGCAATCAGAATTTAAATATTAAATAAATCAAGTTATTAACTATCTACAAATGAATATAAGTTGGTTGTGCAATTGAAAAGCACTTAATGCAAATGTGTTTAATGTGTATTTTATATGTACATATGTATGTCGTTAAATGTATACCATATTTATATGTTGTTGCGTAGTAATACTTATTTGGTGATATGCACATTCACATAGATATAATAATATATTTTATTTTATTATATAGCAAAGATTTTTGTCGTTGATGTTAATTTAGTGCCTTCTTGCAACCGACTAACTTTTGATGTTCTTCAGATATCGATACAATGCTTCCGCTACCATATGAAATGCCATATATATGCAAAATATAAAGGTGTTTTTCTTTCAAATTATTCTCATGGGCTGCATTAGTCAGCGTCAAATTGATCGATGCGTTTTTTTTTTGTCGTTTTTCTATATATTGTTGCCCTCTGCTGTTGTTGCATCTTAACGCGGTTTAATTAATTAAATGTACGCTCGTTATTCCGTTACCTGCTGCTGGCAGTCAAATAAATATTTACACAGGCTCCTTTTTTTGATTAACTCCAAAGAATTTCGATGTTTGGTTGCCCGAGAAGGAGGTTGATAAAAAAGTGTCCACTCATTTAGAAATCATTTGTCAAAATATAAATCGATGCATGTGTAAACGGGTCGAGCGAGAAGAATACGTGTTGGGAAATGTTACATAATCATGCAAACGGCATACAGAACATGCCAAAGAACAACAATAACAACAACAAAAGGGAACCGTTCCGCCTTACACCTTATCGATATTCAAAAATCGTATTCAAACGTTAAACAACTAAAATTTAAATATGAAAAACGCTATCTTTTTTCACATGGCTAAGCATTCGGTTCGGCTATAGAATACTGCGCAATCCCTCCTCCCGCTCGCACCCAATAATGAAAAGGTACCCAAAAGGCCGGCAACCCGCTGTCAAACAGGTATCCAAAATAAAAAGAGCACACCCCACCCCCCACCACCTCATTCCACTGTTGTGGCCCAAACATGACTTCATGACGGGGCAGTGGGAGTGTTCGTTGTTATTGTTGTTGCTGTTGCTGTTGCTGTTGTTGTTCATGGAGCTGTCATGCATAATAAAATTCGAATATATATTCGGGCGCACGCCTTCGTCTTCGAATTTGCCTTTGCCTTGTCTTTGGTTCCGTTCTCGCTGCGGATCCTTATCAAACACGAAAAGTGACGTGTCCAACTACCAAAGATGATGATGCACACACAGGCTCCTGGCTCCAGGTTCCATACTCCATGTTCCATGTTTCAAGTTTCAGGTTCCAGGTTCCAGGCTCAGATTAGCACACAGCCAAAGAAACCTCCTCATTCCCTCTTTCCCTGCTTTGACTAAGTTCACTTTGATGAGCTCTCCCGACACTGACCCACAAATTAGAGTTCGAACTGCCAAGCCCCAAGTCAAGCTGTCTGTCCCTTGTCTTTAGCACAGCCTCGTTGCCAATCTCATGCAATAAATATTGTGTGTTCCGATAAGGTCTAACACTTTGCAATTTTTATTTGTGTGTTTGATGGGATGGGCTATTATTCATGAGCGAATGTTTTGCAAAAGCTCAAAAACTGTCCGCTCTTTTTTTTTTGTTCGATGCTTATTGATAATTTATTTAAGAGAAATGAAGCTGAAAGTTTTCTAAATTTGCTCTGAGCTTGATTGAATTACAAAAGTCCGCAGTGAAGTTTCAAGTCAGATATAAGTTGAAGTTATCGAAAAAAAAAACTCTTCAGCAAAGCTCAGGTTCAGCTTAGCTCTTCTCAATGCACAACGATCAATAAAAACTATGAAAATCAATTCGCATTGTTTGTGCCTGTAAACACATCAATACGATCAATTTCAACTGTACAACATTGGACAGATATATTTACGTATCACATATAACTTCTACCATCAATATTTGATATGTAAACTCATCCGACAAGCAAACAACAAACATGGTTTTATGCATTCAAAGACCCTTTGCTCAACAAAACAAAACAACACAAAAAAGAGAGACAACTTAGCAACTACTCGATTGTGACACGCTTAACCCTTTGTCACATCCATTGACAGTTCAATAATGCGTCATTTGGCCTGATGACGGTGGAGCGGGTTAGGTGGCGGAGAAGACACGCTCTCCACTTCAATTCGAGGTCCGTTCGCTTTTGGTGTGTGGAGGAAGCGAAGGAACAACATCTGAGTAGGGACTGTCGGTGTCAGTCCACATCAGATGTCAGCTGACAGGTACAAAAGATGTTACCAACCTGACTAAGAAGTATGTTAAATATTAAATTCGATTTTATTGTTAAATAAGTTACAATATGTTAGTTATATATTGGAAAGTTTTAAGTAAGTTTTCATTTAATATTGTGTTAATTTGATTTTAAATTTGATACTAGTTTTAACCGAGGTCTACTCATTTAAAAATATGGTTTGCATATATTTCATCTTGCTTGATATGTTTGTTTATCTTGATCATATCTTATTAGTATATCATATGGTTGTTGTGTGCATTATTTACAACGTTTTTAGTAATAACATGTTTCTATTTACATTGACAATTTTTATAATGTATCTTAAATAAAATAGTGAAAAGAAGTTAAGATGCTAAAGTCGAGAAAGCAAGACTAAGCAATTTCCCACACCCAGCTGTTAAATAGTTTGTTCAAATTTCAAAATTCGTTTGATTAACAGCTAAACTTAATGAAATGTTTACTACTTATTAATTACATATGAAGGTATGTTACAAATAACTGGAAGACAGTTCTCGATAAACTGAAATTATCTGGATATGCGCGGGAAATACGAGAGCAATTAAATTTAAAGTCTATGGATATTTTAGTCTCTTAGATCGTCTTGTTCATACGGACAGACTGACATGGCAAAATCAACTCGGCTCTTGATGCTGATCATGAAAATATATTACAATAATACAATTATGGAGTATACTATTTTTATCCATTTTTGAGGGTATATTTGACTTGAAAATTTCGATTTTAAGATTCGTTTTTTATTTTAAAAGTTATAATTTACGAGAGTGTTCACTCTCTTTATCTGTTTCTCTATCACTTTTAGAATGAGTGGAACTAATTTTGCTATGCATTTCCTTGGTATGATTTCTCTTTTAAAAGTGTAAATAAATTTCGGCTGAATTCAAATCATACTTTTGAAATCCGGTTTTAGTCTTTTGGCTTTGGTCTTTTATATTTTTATTTTTATTTTTATTTTTGCTTCGAGACTCGGTTCTCTTGTCGCCTGTCGGATGTCACATTAAATGCGCATTATTTGCTTGAAATAATTTCCCGTTTAACTTTCGTCGAACCGCTTCTGGCCTGATGCATGTGCCTCGATAAAGCGAGCGACGCATTTTGATGACTTTGGCTGCATTTGTTGGCAGCTTCTTGCAATCGTGAGATAAATTTATGGCCAAGTGCGAAATGTTGTAGGTTGAACTTGGTGGTAAGTTCAATGTTGTTGAGGATGCCATTTAATTGATTCATTAGTCAATCGGCCGTTCGGTGTCTGGGTGGGTTCGTGGGTGGGATATCGGGTTACCAATCGGCTGGACCCAACAAGACGATATTTTTGGTGGCAGCTGCACCTGTCGCGCCCCCGCCTGTCAACCGTGCAACTGTCGTCAAAACCATTTGCGGGACAGCAACGCAATTGAAACTATAACATTTCTATTTTTACGAGTTCAACGAAAACTCTATAAAACCTATTAGAACGCAACCGAACCCTATAAACTAGCTGTTTATCGTTATTTTATTTGCGACAAATAAACAACTAACATATATGCCCTGTACATGAATGAACATGTATAAAAGGGATTTTAGTTAAATATCTACGTGTATATATATATATATATATATATATATATATATATATATATATATTATAGTGATCAGTATTAGTTTAGTTGATCTCAGAGATGTTGACTCTTACAAGCAATAACTAAAGTTCGTTTTTTTATATTTAAATAATATTCTTCGCAAATCATAAAAACCAAGATTTTATTCTCTGCAAGCTTTCTGTACATGCCCGAACTTGTAGAAGGGCAACTGCCAGTCGAGCATTGCCGTCTAACACATTTAAACTAGTTATTTAAGTGAAATGAGCTTTCGATCAACAAAAAACAAAAAAAAAAGAAGAAAACAAGAGCGGAAACCTAATTGAAAGTAGCCACGCAAATTGAGCTAACCAAGCGGAAAACCCAGACCATTAAAATTGTGGATTGCAGAGGGGTCTCTCCATAGCTTAGGTGGA